GCTGAGCTGCACCCAATCACCAAACCCAGCCAGCAGTTGGGCTGCAATGGGACAGCTGTCACTTTGCTCCCAGTGGGACCAGAAGATGTGCACAGTTCATATCCCATTGGTCCTCGGGACAAGGGGCCTGGATGGAGGGCCCAGGACACACTGTACACGAGGAGACCCATGAGTGTGTATGACCAGTGCTCCAACAGACAAAGACTTGCACCAGAGTCTGCTCAGCCAGGAGCACACTCCAGGCTGGGCCCAGCAGCCCCCACACCCAGGGTGCTGGCCCCTGATGAAGACCCCCAACAAGCGCCTCTCCAAAGGCTAAGAAGATGTAAACTCTGGCCCACCTCTGCCAGTAACAAGGTGGAGACCAGCGTCTCTACACACTCCTCCCCGCCCCCCACAGCACCTGGGGCAGCTGGGGTCAGCTCTGTTCTGCTCTGCTCCATGGCCCTGCCTGCAGCACCCCAGGACGCCCTGATGCAGTTTGTTGCCATGGAGACAGCGAGCTCGCCCAGGCTGCCGGCTTTCTTTGACTCCATTTCCTGCAAGACAGCAGGCCTGCTGCAACGCCTCCTCGCGCACTCCCCGTGACACCCTCCGGGGACACGAAGCCACAGGGTCCTGCCCGCATACATCTCCCAGTCCAGACACCAGCACATGCTGTGTGCCCCTCTCCAGGGTGTTCCTCCTCACCTGCCCCTTCCACTGCCATGACGCGCTGCTCTAGGAATGGCCTGGCCCATTCAAACTGCTGAAGGGCATGAGGAACCTGCTCCCTGGAGGGCAGCTCCAGAGTTTTTCCCAGGCGGCCTCAGAGAGGAGAAAGCTCACGCACTCGCCAGAGGCTGGGCACCAAGCAGGCAGGGGCAAGCCCAGGGCTCCCCGCTCTGCAGATACCAGTGAAACCCAATGTATGGTGCATGTGGACATGAAAACAAAACTGGGTCAGGATTCAGGTCCAGCCTGGAAGGCCTCACCATCGCTACTCCTCTGAATGTCAGACTGACTTATACTGGTTATCACCAGCCACGGTCGCCACACCCAGGCTGCTCAGAAGCGCGGCCATCTCAGCTCCATGACATCCCAACTGGAGGGGGCCCACCCACCAACACCCACAGGCAGCTCTGTAGGTGGAGGGACTTCACACCAGCACCACCAGGGCTGTTTTGGGCCAGGACGTGGCCGCTGCCTGAGCCAAGTGTGCGGGTACGTGGGCAGGGGCCAGGGAGAGACCGAGATTGGAAGCTGCCCCACCCTAAACAGGGCTACACGTCAGGGTGATGTGGACAGCCAGCTTCTCACGGGGCCAGGCTTCTCACCCTCACCGGTGCCAGCCTTTCACGCCAGAGGATTTGGGAGACTGGAAGGTCCAATTCCAAAAGAACGAGGCCACGAGGCCAGGGTGCGGCAGGCCCCAGCACGTACCCCCAGCCCCTGCCCAGGGCCTCCTCTGGGACTCCAAGGATATGACCACACTGGCCGCCTTCTGCCCTCAGACAGCAAGAATGTCTCCAGATTTCCCCTGGAACACAGCAGGAGAAGTCTGTGGCCAGGCTCAGTGCACAGAGGAGAGGTCAAGAGACAGAAACTAGCCCTGGGACTCTGTCTGGGACAACCCTGCAGGACCGTGACCACACCACCCCAACCCCACCCCACGTTTCTCCTTTACACCCGAGCGGCTGGGCCTCCTCCCTGGTCTGGCCCAGTCTCACTTCTCCTCTGCCGAACCTTCCTACGGACACACACGAATGCTCTCACACTCCCGCAGTCCACGCTCCCCCTGTGCAGTACTTCTGCAAGTTCTAATTTATGCTCTGCTCAAAGTGACGTGTGCACAGTTTTAAAAGTCAGGTGATTCTAGAAGATTTACGATGAAAACCTAGCAGCCCTGCCTCATCTCTTCCAGCTGAGGTCACCCAGCAGGGCCACTACATCCTTCCCAGGCACATTGGCAGGAAGCTGGATCAGAAGTAGAGCAACTAGAACTCAAACCGGCTGTCTGATTGAGATGCTTGTCTGTCAGTGGCTTAACCTGCTGTGCCACCATGCTGGCCCCTACAGCACTCTTTCTTTCTAAGATTCTGTTTATTTATTTGAAGTGGTGACAGAGATAGAGACAGACACAGAGAAACAGATCTTCCTTCCATAGGTTTGCTCCCCAAAGGCCTCAACGGCCAGGGCTGGTCCAGGGTGAAGCTGTATCTGTCTTCCTTACCACTCCCTGCTTGCACCCATGTCCTCCAGGGAGTTCTCCAGAGAGGGTGTCTGCAAACGCAGCTGCTCCACCACCACAAGTGATGGGCTGAGTGCAGAATTCCACCTTGGAGATTCTTTGGCTTCTGGAAGTTTCAGGAATTTTCATACTGATTTCCAATGTCAGTGCTGCCACTGAGAGGCCCGGGCCATCCCGGCTCCTGATGCTTGCTGGATGAACTGCACCCAATCCCGAATTCAGAAATTCTCTTTACTTGGATCTCCCGAAATTTCGTATTAATCCCCATGGGAGGCATTTTCATAAAATTCAACGCCACCCCCACCTCCCCACCACAGACTCCTGAATGTTCCAGGTGCGTGTGTCTTGCGACGAGTGACTGCTGTCACATGTCATCTACAACAGGCAGAGCTAATGAGCCGAGCCCTGTGGCTGACGGGCGGGGCCTGCTCCCTGCTCTCACACAGCCTGGGCCTCTCCTCTCCAGAAGAGGCTCCTGGCGGCATGGCAGAGCTGGAGTTAAAGTTCAGGCAAGCTGCAGTCTAACTGTCCATTTGATTCGCTCACCTTCCCAGGATGCACCTGTCGCATCTGGGACCAGGGCGCGTGCTGAGACCCCACCCTGTCTGTAGTCTGTATATCTGACTGGGGTACCACCCCCTTCCCTACAAAGCGGTGGAAGCTGACAGACAGTGCCCCACCGTGCACACCCTGGACAGACTTCTCCCGCTGAGCTTCCGTTCTCAGCTTTTCCTTTCTATTTACTGGAAACTCTCTGGGTATTTCTGTGTGGGTGGCACACATGTGTGTGAGCATGTCTCTGTTCCCTCACTGGTAAATAGTCCTCTCTGTGTGGGGTGGCACACGCATGTGTGAGCGTGTGTTCCCTCACTGGTAAATATTCCTCTCTGTGGGCAGCACGCATGTGTGAGCATGTGTCTATTCCCTCACTGGTAAATATTCCTCTCTGTGTGGGCGGCACACATATGTGAGCGTGTCTCTGTTCCCTCACTGGTAAATAGTCCTCTCCATGTGGGTGGCACATGTGTGTGTGAGCGTGTGTCTATTCCCTCACTGGTAAATATTCCTCTCTGTGTGGGCGGCACACATATGTGAGCGTGTCTCTGTTCCCTCACTGGTAAATAGTCCTCTCCATGTGGGCAGCACGCATGTGTGAGCATGTGTCTATTCCCTCACTGGTAAATATTCCTCTCTGTGTGGGCGGCACACATATGTGAGCGTGTCTCTGTTCCCTCACTGGTAAATAGTCCTCTCCATGTGGGTGGCACATGTGTGTGTGAGCGTGTGTCTATTCCCTCACTGGTAAATATTCCTCTCTGTGTGGGCGGCACACATATGTGAGCGTGTCTCTGTTCCCTCACTGGTAAATAGTCCTCTCCGTGTGGGGTGGCACACGCATGTGTGAGCGTGTGTTCCCTCACTGGTAAATATTCCTCTCTGTGGGCAGCACGCATGTGTGAGCATGTGTCTATTCCCTCACTGGTAAATATTCCTCTCTGTGTGGGCGGCACACATATGTGAGCGTGTCTCTGTTCCCTCACTGGTAAATAGTCCTCTCCGTGTGGGTGGCACATGTGTGTGTGAGCGTGTGTCTATTCCATGTGGGTAGCACACACATGTGGGAGCGTGTGTCTGTTCCCTTACTGGTAAATATTCCTCTCTGTGTGGGGTGGCACACGCATGTGTGAGTGTGTGTCTATTCCGTGTGAGTAGCACACGCGTGTGTGAGCGTGTGTCTGTCCCTCACTGGTAAATATTCTGTTTCTATCTGCTCGCAGTACCAGTCTGCTCAGGAACCTCGAATGAAAATCAACATCTTCGTTGCCCACAGCACTGACCACGTGCCCTGGCGGAGAGGGCAGGGGCCCTGGACACTCACTCAAGGATTCCACTCAAGCCTGGCGCCTGCTGACACACACCCACTGCAGCCATCCTGCGTGGCCACCCCACAGGGCGTCACTGCATTTCCTGGGAACCCCTGAGCTGTCCTGCCCTTGTCAGTTGGCTCCTCTCCCACCCCCTTGCTCCCATGCTCTGCTTAAAGTCCATTTCCTGTTTCCCTGGAGTTTCAAGAAATGACCCACAAAGCACCGCGATCCCCTGGAGAACGTCTGGTTCCCGTGTAAAGTCCCTGGGGTACACCCGTCTGCCCTTCTGGGGCAAGCCCCGTTTCTCCCCTTCGCTAGGGGCACTGCTCCTGAGTCTGTGCCACCCTGGTGCACACTCCCTGCTCCAGGAAAACCCCGGCTCTTGGAGCAATGGTCCTTGATGGCCTCCGAGCACAGACGCTCCCAAACCAAGATCTGCATCTTCCACTGCCCAGTGGGAGAACCCCCTCCCCCCGTGTCCACGTTTCTGTTGTCTTCTAGGGAAACTGTGCTTGCTGAGGCAGGAACTGCGCCCAGCACACACATGGGCCCCTCACTGTGCCCCAAAACTGGGCATTGAGGACCTGCAGACCAGTGCCGGCTGACTCGGGTGGGATTTGATGTCCATTTCCCCAGAGAATCCCCCCCCTCACTCACTGTGTCCCCACAACCAGCACAGGCTCCCACACAGCCCAGAGCGAACGCAGGGTGGACGAGCAGACACCCTGTCCATGGGGAATTCTAATTCCTGAGAAAGATGAAGGTGACTGGGAGAACAGCTCGCTGCTGTGTCCCCACATCTAGAACAGCGCCCAGCACACACAGCTCCCCAGGAGACGTCTCCTGACTGACAGCTAACGGGGTGGTACTAAGAGGTCAGAGGGCAAGGAAGCCCTGCTTACCCGGAGAGCACTCCCAGGACCAGGTTGAGCACAAAGAAGGATCCGATGATGATGAGGGGGATGAAGTACAGCCAGTTCCAGGTGGCTCCTAAGGCATCATTGGTCTGAAAGAAACAGAGGCTCCTGTTACTCACAGCCATGGGGAAGCCGCCCCTTCCTGCCACTCACCCAGGACTGGACAGCACAGCTCAGAGCCAGCACGGGGGCGCAGAGGGTGCAGCCGCAGCTGTGATGCCTGCCTCCCCTGTCGCAGGCTCGGTTCAAGCCACAGCTGCTCCACTTCTTATCCAGCTTCCTGTCCCCCACCACCCACGTGGGAGACCGGACAGACCTCCAGGCTCCGGGCTTCAGCCTGGCGCAGCCCTGCTGTTGTGGCTGTTGAGGGAGCGAACCCGTAGATGGAAGGTGGATCAATTCTCTGCCCTGACCTGCCACTCTCCCTTTCAAATAAATGACTAAATCTTTAAAAAGGAAAGGGGCACTGCCTCCTGACTCCCACCCTGGGTCACCACAGCCCCCTCACGCTCTGCACACACACAGTGAGCTCCGTACCAGCCTGCTTGGTGTCTGTACTACAGACTTGGAATCTCCTAGCACCCTCACTTAACCTGACAAACTAACCCAGCATGTGAACCATCACTGGCTTCACAAGGCTGGGTGACACGGCTTAGCCTTTGCACTTTCATCTGGAGTGACTCTTGGAGAGACAGAGGCAAACTATGTCTGTCACTCGCTCAGATGCTGGTGAGGCCTTGCCAGGGCTGCTTGCAAGGAATCAGCACTGTCTGCACCTTGCCAGCCTGGGCTCCAGGTCTGGGTGTCGTCCTCCTGTCACAGAGCCACAGCTCAGAGCTGGCCTGGGCCCGGCCTCAACAAGCCCTTCGATGGACCAGGGACAAATCTACCACACAAGGACTGAGAAAACGCACAGGAATCTGTGTTCTGCGCTCCCGTACCAGAGGCTGTGTGCAAGGCCCCCGGGTGATGAGCAGGGCTCACAGCACACGCAGCCAGTGTCGGCTGCTCCCGCAGGTCCTTGTGGCAGGACCTTGACCCTGAGCTGGGCAGCCATCTAAAATGTGCTCCCATCACACTGGGCTCCCAGCCACGACTTCCTGTCCAGCTGACCTTGACCCCCCCCCCCCCAGTCTTTCCACATGGCCTTCCTGGATTGCATTTCACACACATGGGGCTTTGACACCCCCAGCCCTGTCCCACCCACCCCCAACACACAAACTTTAATTCCATCTGAAACTCCAACAGCTGTTTTATCCTCAGTTCACTGAGCAAACAAGGCCATCCAGCCAAATGCATTCCTAAAATTTAGACCAGAACTCAGAATCCCCAGGGCAGAAACTCACCTTCCCTCCCTCGCTACCCAACTGCAGAAGCTCTGATGTGTCCTGTGGCTCCCCTGGTCCCTGTGACCTGCGGTCTCTGCTCCTCCCCCAGGACATCGCATTTCCTGTCTCCCACAGATGCCCTGGTCCACAGAACACAGGGGAAAGACAGGCTCCTTTCAACAGCCTTGTCTGCGACTGAAGCTGGGTAAACATTAAAAAGAGATGCCTGGAGGCAGGGCCAGGCCCAGGCCAGTCTCCCCGTGTGGCCCTGGTCAGTTCAGTGCAGGCCAGGGAGACATGGGCGGCACCTGGCAGAAGGCCGCTGACGTCAGCAGGGAGCAGTGGAGGTTTTCACGAGGGACACGGGACGAGGACTCTCCTGGGCACGAGGCCGCCCCTCTTGACCCTGTGGAGCAGCTCAGCCCTGACTCAGGATTACAATGGAACACCCAGAGGACTGAGGTAGGCTCTCCCCTTTGGCCTTGGCTTAGCCCCACCCCTCAGTTTCCTTGGCAACAGGAAGGCTAAGCCCGGAGTCGGGATCAGGGCTCAGTGACGGAGATGAGGAGCTTGTGACTTTCAGGCTTCTCCGGCCCCAGCAGCAGCCACAGCTTGGGCAAAGTGAAGTGCGTGTCCCGGCAGTCAAGGGTTCTGTGAGAAGGATTGGGTTCTCCCGGGCGGTCTGCTTGGCTCTGCCTCCAGCATCTTACATGGAGATCAGCACACAGGTGCTCAACTAACTCACCAATGGCCACCGTTTTCATTAGATGAGTCTCCCGTTAAAAACGGACTGACACAGCTCCTCCCGAACCCCGTCTCAATCTGGCAGATGCTGCACACCTGACCCACAGTGCCAGGGCCCTCCAGAGGAACACGGAGCAGAATGGGGTGTGCAGGAGGGAAGGCAGAGCTGGGAGACGCAGGCCCCAGTGTGTGTGCTGGAGGGGGAAGCCCGCAGGGTCCTGCTGCAGAGACGGCTCCGCGGAGTCCCTGTCCGTCATCCCTTCCACACCCCTGCCACGCCCACCACTCAGCTTCCGCTCAGCACCCCCCCCCCCCCATCCTTCCAGCCAGGGGGCCTCCAGCCCCGCGCGTCTCTCTCCTGGACCAGGGACCCGTCCCCTGGGAAGTGGGCAGGTGATCCCCTGGTAAATATCGGGGCTTCCATTTCCTTGTGACGCACGACTGTGAAAACCTTAAAACTGCCCAGACAAGGCGCCACCTCAGCGTCCTGAGATGAGCACCCATGACCTCACGGCAGGACCAGGAGAGGGTTGAGGAAAGCCGTGTGGCCATGGAGGACATCCCTGGGGGAGGGCAGAAGGCTCTGTCCCATCTTCTCCCTCTGCAAGGAGCTGGGATGCCGGCCACGATTTCACACAGCAACCGTGGGACAGCCCTGCTGGGGCCTGGCAGCGAGACCCCAGCCGAGAGACTCAGCTTCCGAAACTGCTGCTGGATCCTGGCTGGCCCCAGGAGGAAACCGCCTCCCCTGGGGACGCCTCCCACGGGTCAGGCCCTGCAGACAGCTTTTCTCTGGGTCAGCATCCTCTTGGTTAAGGCACTGCTGCTCTTGCCACCCCCAACACCTTCCTTGCTCAGCCCCGCCCCTCCACCCCCTTATCTTCTCCACCTGCAGACTCCCTGAGGCGTGTGCACACGTGCACACAGCATGACAGACAGCGGGGCCGGGGGCGGAAGCCCACCTGACAGGAGTGCTGGGTGGTACCAGTCCTGACGTGGGAGCACGTTCCTCTGGGAACCTGCCTGGAGGGGGAGGGGGCCCACCCACGTCCTGGGTAAACAGGCACACGCGCCAATTATCGCATTAATCTGCAGGGGAGGAGGGCGGGGCAGAGGAGGCGGACGCTGTGCTTCTCTGACCCAGGTTGTGTAGGCAGGGCCAGGCCCCCACCTGGGCACAGGCCCCACAGGCAGCCCTGAGCAGGAGACCAGAGTCGGGGATGGTACCCTAGGCCCTATCAGAAACAGAGTGTCCCGCAGCTGCTCCCTAGCTTGAAGGTTGCACCTGCCGAAGCCCCGGCTGGCCAGCAGCAGTTTCCTGCACTGTGGCCTGAGAGGTACTGGAGGCCAGGTGAGAGGCCATGGGGACGGCCCTGTGCTGTCTTAGGCAGTGGACCCTGCTGTGACCCCAGAGTTACCATTCCTGCTGCCCTTGAGCTCTGTCCCCAGCACAGGTGATACATCCTCAGTTATGAACTGACTCGGGCCAGGCCACCAAAACGGTCAGGCCGTTCATCTCACAACTCTGCTGGCCCCTCCCAGGGGAGTCCACCACTCCACGTCCTCCTGCCCTCCTGGGCCCCCACCTCCAGCTGGCACCCAGTGTGACAGCTCTGTTCCCACCCACACAGCTGGGGTCTGTGTCTCAGACATGAATGCAGTGATCTGCTCAACAGTGAGACGTGAGGGAGCCCTGGCCAGGGCCCAGTGGACGTCACAGGAGGACGTGCAGGAACCCTGGCTGGGTTTTCTCACAGTGCAGATACCTGCGGTCATGTCCAGATGACCCTACGGCCTCCTCCTGAGCCTTCCTGCGCAGGCACCAGTGTCCCCTCCTCACAGGAGACCTCCCTCTGACCTCACAGCCTCAGGGGAAAATCCTGTCTTAGCACCTCCCTGGGCCCTGAGTCACCCGAGAGACACAGGCCTCCCCTCCTGCCACTGTCCAGGGCTCGGTGGCCCGTGCGTGGCCAGCCCTGCTCCTCCCCCGGGTCTGCTTGGGCAGCAGATGTACTCTCCCAGCTGCCAGCAGCTCATACCTGCTTCACATGTGTGCCCTGTGGTCACAAACCAGCTCCCCTGGGCCACCACTTCCGACTGCTCCTCGGAGCAAGGGAGGCCCAGCCTCTGCCTGCAGGCGAGGGAGCAGCGGAGGCTAAACTCTGAAACCACATCTCTATCCCTTAGAGGCAACCCCCAGGAATCCCAGCTCAGGGCCGTTCCCAGGGACTCCGAATCAGGGCTCTCTTTCTCAGCAGGGTTCTCCAGGTCCTGCAGTCCTCTGAGCACCCACCCATACACCCACAGGCAGGCTCCCTGCAGGCCAAGGGCTCGGAACACTGAGACACATCGTCCACCCACTTGCTGACAGCCACCTCAGCCCGGACCAGCCAGTGACCCCCGGAGGACCTGAGCAGGCTTGGGGCCACAGCTGGACACACACGACTCCAGAGCAGTCTTATACATAGAGAACCAGGACAAGCTGGGAAGTCAACACCACACTCCTGAATCTCGAACCCAAGGGCTGTCTTCCCTGCCTCCTGAAAAGACAGTGTGGGGAAGCCGTGGAGAGAGTGACAGGAGCCCAGAGAAAGGGCAGCTGCTGGCTTCCAGCCAGGGGGCCGCCATCGGCTGGGCACTGTGCTCTGCCTCCGGTCTGGAGCACCTCCAATAAACACAGGACCTCTCCCTACACCAGCAGCTCAGCGGCCCCAGGGACAGCCAGGGTGCGCCATGCTCCTGAGACCCTGGAGCAGCAGGCAGGCTCAGGGAGAGGGAGGGAGGTGAGTCCAGGAGGGCCGGGGCCCAGGCCTGGTGCGCCCTCTGCTGTGGGTACGGTGTGTCCTGACACTGGGCACCCGTCCTGTGGTCATCAGGCGTTGCACGATATCTGTGTGTGTATGTGGACACTGGGCACCTGTCCTCAGGTGTTGCATGATGTGTGTATGTGTGTGGACACTGGGCACCCGTCCTGTGGTGTCAGGTGTATGTGTGTGGACACTGGGCACCTGTCCTCAGGTGCTGCATGGTATGTGTATGTGTGTGGACACTGGTTGCATGATGCGTGTATGTGTGTGGACACTGGGCACCTGTCCTGTGGTGTCAGGTGTTGCATGATACATGTGTGTGTGTGGATACTGGGCACCTGTCCTGTGGTGTCAGGTGTTGCGTGATACATGTATGTGTGTGGATACTGGGCACCCGTCCTGTGGTGTCAGGTGTTGCATGATATATGTATGTGTGTGGACACTGGTTGCATGATGTGTGTATGTGTGTGGACACTGGGCACCCGTCCTGTGGTGTCAGGTGTTGCATGATACATGTATGTGTGTGGACACTGGGCATCCGTCCTGTGGTGTCAGGTGTTGTGTGATACATGTATGTGTGTGGATACTGGGCACCCGTCCTGTGGTCGTCAGGTGTTGCATGATACGTGTATGTGTGTGTGGACACTGGGCACCCGTCCTGTGGTGTCAGAGGTTGCATGATGCATGTATGTGTGTAGACACTGGGCACCCATCCTGTGGTCGTCAGGTGTTGCGTGATACATGTATGTGTGTGTGGACACTGGGCACCCGTCCTGTGGTCGTCAGGTGTTGCATGATATATGTATGTGTGTGGACAATGGTTGTGTGATACATGTATGTGTGTGTGGACACTGGGTACCCATCCTGTGGTGTCAGGTGTTGCGTGATACATGTATGTGTGTGGACACTGGGCACTCGTCCTGTGGTGTCAGGTGTTGCGTGATACATGTATGTGTGTGGACACTGGGCACTCGTCCTGTGGTGTCAGGTGTTGCGTGATACATGTATGTGTGTGGACACTGGGCACTCGTCCTGTGGTGTCAGGTGTTGCGTGATACATGTATGTGTGTGGACACTGGGCACTCGTCCTGTGGTGTCAGGTGTTGCGTGATACATGTATGTGTGTGGACACTGGGCACCCGTCCTGTGGTCGTCAGGTGTTGCATGATATATGTATGTGTGTGGACAATGGATGTGTGATACATGTATGTGTGTGTGGACACTGGGTACCCATCCTGTGGTGTCAGGTGTTGTGTGATACATGTATGTGTGTGGACACTGGGCACTCGTCCTGTGGTGTCAGGTGTTGCGTGATACATGTATGTGTGTGGACACTGGGCACTCGTCCTGTGGTGTCAGGTGTTGCGTGATACATGTATGTGTGTGGACACTGGGCACTCGTCCTGTGGTGTCAGGTGTTGCGTGATACATGTATGTGTGTGGACACTGGGCACTCGTCCTGTGGTGTCAGGTGTTGCGTGATACATGCATGTGTGTGGACACTGGGCACTCGTCCTGTGGTCGTCAGGTGTTGCATGATACGTGTATCACCACTCACGTGTAGCACTCAGGTGCTGCCCTCCTGCCAGGAACTGCTGGTCTCCCCAGTCTAGGTGAGCGCTCAACTCTCGGCATCTCAGATCTCCCACATGGGTGCAGGGGCCCAAGTGCTTAAGCCATCTCCCTTTGCTTTCCTGCATTAGCAGGGAGCTGGATTGGAAGCAGAGCAGCTCGGACTCAAAATGGTGCTCCAACATGGTTAAGCTTCAGCGCAACCACTGTGCAACAATGCTGGCCCCAGCCCAGGGCTGCTGGCCTCAGCCTGTGCACCCCCCTCCTCTCCACCCTGTAATCTCCAAGTCCCTGCTCCCTCTCCTTGCTTTGCACTTTAGTGTTCTGGCCTCAGGATCCCATCTGGAAGCGGCCTGAGCTGACGACCTGATTGTCTTCCATTTCCTCTAACCTTATGGAGTAAAGCAGCACCAGCTTGGCAGGGGGCGGGGGGAGGGGAGACAGGCAGGCCGAGTGGGGTGGTGGTGGAAGAGCCAGAGGGCCGCCTCCATCGTTGGGTTTCATGCATCCCTCTCCTGGCCCCTTGCTCCACAATCAGGAGTCCTCCAGCACTCGAGAACACAACTCGGCCCCCAGAGCCGCCCCTAGGCTCCACTCCTCGCAGGAGCACACGGACTCTGCACACGTGGGAGTGTGCCCTGCCCGAGTGCAGGAGGCCAGTGCCCACGAGTGGACAGACCATCCTCACTGCCTCCGTCTCTCTGGCACCCCAGCTCCCTCCCACGCGGCAGAACTGCATCCTCCTCTGCCAGCCTCAGTACCACCCGGTGATGAGCAGGCAGTGGTGAGGCTGGCATTCCGCCGTGCGGGTATCTGGTTTCCCCCACTGCATGCAGAGACGTCAGCTGCACAACGGACTCTCTGTCCGCAAACAACTCACTCGGATTTCCCAAGAAGGGTGACGCCAGGGACAAAGCCCCAGATTACGTATGGATTCTGAGAAGTTGAGTTATTCGGCATCAGACAGCTCTGTCGAGAGCAACCATTGTACCACACACGCTTTGAGGCTGCACAGCCCAGCTCCGGCTCCAACAGCCTGAACCCAGGGCTACACCTCTGGAATCAGGGGCCACCTGAGAGCACACAGGGGAGGGAGGCGTCTGGGTTCCCCCACGGCGCCCGGACACAGGTGTGCACAGATCTCACTGCCTTCACCTTCCTGGCCGCCAGGGAGCTCAGGGAGTGACAGCCTCAGGAGGGTGCCACCCAAGTGCCATTTACAGGAATTACTGTGCCCAGTGACCCGCCTGCGACCCTGAGGCTCCTGACGGAGGAGCCTCCACCAGACACAGACCTGGGTCCCCACTGGCTCAGACCCCATGCTCCCTACCTCCTTCTCTCTTGGGAACTCCTCTGCTCTGGCCCTCATCCCCCGAGGAGCAGTCCTCATTCTCTGTGCCCCAACGCGATGCCCCAGGCCTCTTCCCCTAAGCAGCTCAGGGCTGGGCACAGCAAGGCAGGAGAACACAGGCTGCGAGATGGCTGCATTCATTGCATCCCCTGCTGGAGACCGGGGCAGACTCTGCTCTTACTGTCATCTCTGGAGGGGCAGAATCCTCACCCAGGTGGACCTTAAGGCACCATGCTGCCTGGGCCGGGGTCCAGACAGAAATGACCACTGCATCCACACTGGCAGCACACTGAGAACAGGGCCCAGATGCTGTGTCTGCAGCAGCAGGGCCAGGGGAGCCCCCTGTGATCCTATCCAAGTGCTCCACCCCCCATCTCCTGTGACGCCCACACCCTAACAGCATTGCTTCTCTGAGCAGAATGCTGGGTGAGGTCCGAAGACCAGCACAGGCAGCTCCTGGCTGGTACGTGGGAGACAGTGTGTGTATAGAACCAGCAAATCTCGCCCCATTCCTCCCTGCTTAATGCGCCCAGGGACTGCCCTTGCCAAGCCCCCACGCCCTCCCATGCACTCCAAGCCACACACCCAGGCCTGCCTCTGGTCAGGCTCGCCCCATCTCCATGCTCCTGCCCACCTGCCTAGAGGGCCATCCCCAGGTTTCTCCCCTGGCTGAACACTGAAAATCTTCCCGGTGACAGCGGCTCCCCACTCCCTGCACTCAAACCACGGCACTGTGCTCTGAAGTCACAAGGCTGGCCTCTGTGCAAAGCCAGGCACACTGCAGGAGGGGCAGGTGTCACCTGTGTGTCTGCTCTGACCTCAGCTTCACCCCAGGAGGTGCCTGTGTTTGCTGAGTGACTAAGTAAACAAGTAGTAACTGCATGCATGGCTCTGACGGAGCACGCTGCTGAGGAAGGTTTCCTGCAGGAGATTCAGGCACTTGGAGGTGGGGCGGGGGCAGAGTTCACAGGACCAGGGCAGTCTCAGGACAGCTCAACCAGCCCTGCCAAACCGTCCTGTCACCCAGACCTCCTAATCCCCTCGGGAGCAGCTGTGTCCCCACATCTCAGATGAGCTCGGGAGGATCAGAACAGGACCTGACTCCACCTCCACACAGCACTGCCCTTTCAGACTTGACTCAGGGCATAAGCACGGACCATGCTTCCCGGAGCACCCGGCACGCGGTCGGGGCAGGCGCTGGGCTCAGCAGTGGGGACCTGCATCCCAGAGCAAGCACCTAGGCTCTGCTCTTGGTCCCAGCATTTCTTGTTGAGTCCTGGCTGCTCTGCTTCTGACCTACCATCCTGGTACTACACTGGGAGGACAAATGAACATGGCCCAAGGGCTTGGGCCCCTGCCACCCACTTTGGAGACCTGGATGGAGCTCCAGGCGCCTGGCCTTGTTCTGGCTCGCTTCCAGCTGGTGCAGGTATTTGAAGAGTAAACCGATAGACAAAGATCTCTCCCTCCTGTCACTCTGTCCCTCTGCTTTCTCAATAAATAAAATTCATCCATTCATTTATTTTAAAACAAAAGGATCCGCAGCTCTCAAGGACAGAGAAGGACAGAAAGCTCAGTGTCACCGCAGGGCCGTCCAGGGACTGCGGACAGCACAGCGCTGGCCCCTGCACCGAGGGGACAAGGCAGAGAACCTCGCAGAGAAGCGGCCCTGGTTCTCCTGAGGGTTGGGCCAGGCAAGGCTCAGCGTGGATCCCTCACACTCCAGTCTTAGGGCTTGCCCACCCCCACCCCTTTGCTTGGTCAGCTGGAGACCCTCCCTCAGCTGGCGATGCCTTGAAAGAACCCATCAGACTCCCAGACACCTGCAGGCTCCTGCACCCCTCCCCGTGAAGGGAATCTGGTGCTAGTTTCCTCTGATGGGACATCTGGGGCCTTTCAGGCCTGCCCCTGGATCCTGAAATCCACATCCAGGCCACCCCTACCCCCCACCCCCAATCTGGGCTAAATCCTGGAGACCCCTTGAGTCAGGAGCACACACTTCTCTCTGGGCCATTTCTGGAGTGTTCGTGCGCAGGTCAAATGCACTGATAGAGTCAGCAGCAACCGCCATGCACAGTCTGCACGTTAAGCACATGGTAGCCCCACTGTGACGTAATCTTCCCCACAGTCCCTCAGAGCCAACATCAGCACCACGCTGCTCTTTCCTTGGCCAGGGACTGAGGCCAGGGAGGTTGAGAAGCCACCCGAGGCTGCAGCCCGTCTTCTGACCCCTGCACCAGGCAGTCTGCCAGGCCTGGACACAGCAGATTTTCGTCTTGTTGGAACAGGTCAGGCTCTGGGCTCGGGGCCCTGAGTCAATGCTCCTCGGTAGAGGAAAGCAACGAAGGAGCGCCAGCTCACTCGGGTTTTCTGCCACGCACAGGGAGACGGCTGCCTCTCTCTAGCCCTGTTTTACTTTCACATCACACAAGTTTACCCACCACCTGCAGTGACAAGTGGCCATGGTGCCCGACACTGAGTGGGGCTCAGTGTACCTGGGTGGGAATGGACGAAGGAGCAAATCCCTGTGACAGGGAGAAAAGGAAACGTCCAGCTGCCACCATTCTGACTGGAGCAGCGGCTCTCAGAGGACGGCCCCGGGCCTGCAGCCTCAGCACCACACACACTGCTGGCTCCCAGCGCAGCCTCAGATGAGGACATAGTGGAGTCTCTGAAATCAACCTTTTAATGAGCCCACTGGGGGCCACACAAGCCCAGATCTACAGGTCAGAAAGTGAGTCCCCTTGCAACCATGCTGGGAGGCAGGGCCTTCTGGGGGAGCAGCAGGTAGACTCCCTGAGATCAGTGGAAGAGACTGTGCCCTCTTTTTTTCTTTCTTTTTAAAAGACTGATTGATTTATTTGAAAGGCAGCGTTACAGAGAGGCAGAGGCAGAGGTGGGGGGGAGAGGTCTTCCATTTGCTGGTTCACTTCCCGATGGCTGCAACAGCTGGAGCCATGCCATTCTGAAGCCAGGAGCCAGGAGCTTCTTCTGGGTCTCCCACAAGAGTGCAGGGGCCCAAGCACCTGGGCCATCTTCCACTGCTTTCCCAGGCCATAGCAGAGAGCTGGATTGGAAGTGGAGCAGCTGGGACTTGAATCGGCGCCCATATGGGATGCTGGCACTGCAGGCAACGGCTTTACCTGCTATGCCACAGCGCCAGCCCCTCTGCTGCCTTTCATCTTCCTGCCTAATGCCCAGGACGGATGTAACAGTTAGACTACCACTTGATGGACTGGCATGTGGTGCAGTAAAGACACTGCCTGTGATGCCAGCATCCAACATGGGCACCAGTTGGTGCCCTGACTGCTCCACTTCCCATCCAACTCCCTGCTAATGGCCTCAGAAAAGCAGTGAAAGATGGCTCAAGTGTTGGACCCCTGCCACCCAAGTGAGAGATCTGGGTGATGATCCTGGTTCCTGGGTTCTGCCTGGCCCAGGAGCCATCTGGGATTGCAGCCATCTGGGGAGTGACCCAACAGATGGACGATCTCCCCACTTCCCCCATAACTCCTTCAAATAAATAAAAAAAATCTTTAACAAAAAACGGGCACCACTTGAGGTGGATACTTGCTTCTCATATCAGAATGCCTGGATTTGAGAAGTGACTGCTGTTTCTGACTCCAGCTTCCTGCTGATGTGCCCTGGGAGGCAGCAGTTTCAGCTGACGTTCCTGGGCCCCTGTGGGGGAACCCAGACGAGGCTCCTGCTCCTGTCCTGGGTCTGACCCAACCCCAGCTATTGCGGGCATTTGGAGTGAATCAGTGGATGGAAGATCTCTGCTTCTCTCTCTCTCTCTCTCTCTCTCTCTCTCTCTCTCTCTCTCTCTGTGTGTGTGTGTGGTGTGTGCATGAGAGAGAGAGTGTGTGTGAGTGTGTGTGTGTGCTGGCCTGTCTGCCTTTCAAATAAATACAAATTTGAAAAATATTAAGGTGCTACCTTGGAAGCAGAGACTGTATCCTCATCAGATTTTGGACCGGGGCCTTGAGAACTCTGAGAATCCCACAATCAGTGCTGTTCTGTTGCTCTAACTACAGGATTGAGACAAAGCCCCCTGGGCCCTACCTACTCACATTTGGGGACCCTTGGCCAAAGGAGTGCACAAGTAGCCCCAGTGCTAAGCTGAAGGACCCAGGAGTAACACAAGGAAGTGAGACAGGAGAAGCCAGAAGCCAGGAGTCACACGGAGAGATGTGGAAGGAGGGAGTGAGGGAACTGAGTCATGGCACACCTGCTCAAGGACAAGGGCATCTGTGACCTCGTGACCTCAGCTGGGCACTGGCATGGCCATAGGTGCAGCCCCCTCCTCCACTCCTCTGTGGACGACCAAGCCTCAGACGCACCAGGAGCACCTGGCCCTGCACAAGGACTCACCTGGCAGTGAGAGGAGAGTGTGAATGAGAATCTCCCCATACAGGTTCTGCCCTGGTCTTGCCACAGAGGGTTGAAGGGAGAACTGAGCCCACAGGTGGTACAGACACCTCGGCTGAGAGCCACTGTGCGGCCTGGGTCCCTGTCCCTCACCCTGGGTCTGTGCCCCTCCCCCTGGTCTGTTCCCCTCACCCCAGGTCTGCCTCCGGGTCATACCCCAGCCTTACAAGGACAGCCAGGCTGCCAGGCGACTTACAGAAGAGGGAGAGCCCACCCAGCTGTGGGGCTCAGGGGGCAATGAACTTAGGGACAAGGAAGGGTCACTCCAGACGCCAGACAAAGCACAGGATCAGGACACACAAGGACGGAGGCCGAGGCTGCCCGGGTCGTCTCCGCTCTGGGCCGGGAATCGCTGGCACTCCCAGGGCACTACGGGCAGATGCACGCCACACTGCTCCTTGACCACAACTGGGCTGGAGCTGTGGAACGAGCAGATGCACAGGCCCCTCACGCTCTAGGGAAACAACCCAACACACCGGGGTTTACAGCCGGTCAGCCGCTGAGCACTCACTGCCAAAGCCAAGACTCACAGGCCGGTTCACAAGCTGGCGTCTGAGCAAACCCGTCCGGCACAGGCAGTCCAAGCAGCAGCAGCAGGGCCGTGCGCAGAGAGCCTGCTGGAATCACTTTTGAGGGGTGGCCTGGGGGATTTCTCCTCTTGTATCATGTGATGACCAACAAAGGCAAGAATGCAGGGCCCAGAGAGGTCACAGCTCGCAGACAGCAAGATGGACAGCAAGGACTCCCACAAGACAGCCTCAGCGCTCGCTACTGCACCCACAGCCAAGGACGTGGACACAGGAAGCAGAGAGTTGGGGGCTGCCAGTCACCCAAGGGCCATGATGCACTCACCAGAACTGGACCCTAGGGTCTCACAGGAAAATGCCAGCTGCAGTCCTGAAAGTCCCGGCCGTGCACTCATGGAACAGCCCAGTGACTTTTGTAAGTTGTCAGGCCAGAAGGGGGGTCCTTGCCCGAGGCAGGACACAGGCAGTGGGGTCAGACAGGGGGCCCTCCCACAGCTACGTGGCCAGCCGTACACTCCCAGTAAGTCTTTCTGGGCCTGAGCTGCCTCATCTCTGAGATGCATGGGTTAGGAACAACATGGCTCTTGTACCGTGTAGGGTACAGTGTGAGGAGTGTGGTGTCCAGGAGGGGTGCTGTGTGAGGGTTACAATGTATGCTGTACAAGGGTTAGGAACACCATGGCTCTTGTACCGTGTAGGGTACAGTGTGAGGAGTGTGGTGTCCAGGAGGGGTGCTGTGTGAGGGTTACAGTGTATGCTGTACAAGGGTTAGGAACAACATGGCTCTTGTACCGTGTAGGGTACAGTGTGAGGAGTGTGGTGTCCAGGAGGGGTGCTGTGTGAGGGTTACAGTGTATGCTGTACAAGGGTTAGGAACAACATGGCTCTCGTACCGTGTAGGGTACAGTGTGAGGTGTGTGGTGTCCAGGAGGGGTGCTGTGTGAGGGTTACAGTGTATGCTGTACAAGGGTTAGGAACACCATGGCTCTTGTACCGTGTAGGGTACAGTGTGAGGAGTGTGGTGTCCAGGAGGGGTGCTGTGTGAGGGTTACAGTGTATGCTGTACAAGGGTTAGGAACAATATGGCTCTTGCACCGTGTGGGGTACAGTGTGAGGTGTGTGGTGTCCAGGGGGTGCTGTGTGAGGGTTATAGTGTATGCTGTACAAGGGTTAGGAACAACATGGCTCTCGTACCGTGTGGGGTACAGTGGTACCGGATGCGGTACAGTGTGAGGAGTGTGGTGTCCAGGGGGTGCTGTGTGAGGGTTATAGTGTATGCTGTACAAGGGTTAGGAACAACATGGCTCTCGTACCGTGTGGGGTACAGTGGTACCGGATGCGGTACAGTGTGAGGAGTGTGGTGTCCAGGGGGTGCTGTGTAAGGGTTACAGTGTATGCTGTACATGGGTTAGAAACAATATGGCTAAAACACTCAGTTTGAGCCCTGGCAAACAGAGGGAGCTCAGGAAGCGCCAGCCATGGCGACAAGAAGGGATCTGGACTCCTGGAGGGGATGGCGAGGTGCCTGGCTCCCAGCTGCGCCCTCCCTGCTGCCCCGGCCTTGCTTGCAAACACTGACCCAGCCTGACGCAGGGTCAGCCTCCCAGAAACCTGTAACGCACACAGGACACACACCGCAGCAAACACACACTTGGTGTGTAGCTGATGTGCACGAAGCCAACACGTGGCAGCACCTGCATCTCAGGCGTGTTCAGTGAAGAAAGCAGCACACGCGTGACTTCTGGGAGCCCTGGAAGCCACTGTCTGGACTGCACTTCCGAGGGGAGGCTGTGCTTGAGGGTTAGTGCTTCCTGCGGGCACCCTGGAGACAGCAGGTGCCCCTCCAATGTCCACCACACAGGCTGCTCTCTTGAGCCACAATCAAGTCAACCTGCTGCTGGTGGGGCAAAGGTTCCACAGCTATGGTGTGCACACGCAGTTCATCACAAGCTTGTCAGAGA